AGAGCAGGGTTTAGGGCTGTTGTGCATAGGGTCGCTATGAGTTGCAAATGACTCGACGGCACTTAACAACAACATCATCTCGGAGAGAAGTCAGAAACAGGCCACCACCTAATCTTCATAGGATTGCTAACTGTTTTAGAATGTCATCAATACAAGCCAGGTTTACAGTTTAACGACATGGTGTAATTCAGCAACATAATTTAAGTGACTGTTTAAAAAAAAGAAAATCAGTTTCACTTGTCCTATTTCTAATGCACTTTTAAGAGTAGTGAGGATATTTATCTTTCTGACCATAGAAACAGACATACAACATGGAATTTACTCAAACTTCACACCTTCTCATTTCTTTTGAAAGATCAAAACAGATAGGAAATCCTGGCCAATTTTGTTCATGGCTTAAAATGCAACATAGAGAATCCTGTTACATTTTCAGTGTTTCTTAAAGAATAAATTGGGTCTTCAATTTAACAATTCACTTTTATTATTTAATAATCTACTTCTAAAAATCCATTATTCCATAGTTTTTGAATTTCAATAAAAAAATCTCACGATCACAGCATTACTAATCTGAGTCAAGTACCGTTCAGCAGCTAAGGAGCAGAAAACTGGGGGTGGAGAAGGCACTGGGTGCACTGTCTTCTTGGCTCCTCACAACCACCTGATGAATCTAGAATCTGCTATGTCGAAAATATTACTTGAGTATGGAGTATATTAATTTTATGATAAAACCACTTTATAGTAATATGGACAAATAATCCAAGTAAACATTAGTCGTCATAGAAGTTCCCTAGTACTACACTAAAAATGAGACTCTCTCTCTGCTTTTATAAGATTAATTATACTATTGAAATTTATTCTGTTTTGCATTTTCAACCAATCAAAATAATTTCCCTAGGCACCTACTGTGTATTATGAAGTGTGCTGAACAGGACACACTTGGCCTTTGCCCCTCAGGTGAAGTCCTGTGTGCCGACAGGCTGGAACTAGGTGGGCTGGTGCGATGCACTGCACAAAACCCCCAAGTTCCACCCCAAAGCCCTGACTGACAAGCCTGACTGATCACCAACACACAGGTGCTGTGAGGATGCACACGTGCATGTATGCGCACACGGCAAAGCTGGAAACAGGAGGCAGAAAGAACTCTGTATGAAATAGTCCGATTATTAACAAGTAGCCTACAAGTATGAGAATCAGTCATGAAAGGCAAAACCCAAGCTCCTGCGTATTTATAGATAATTTTAGTTAAAGAATGATTGGCGAGTTTAAAAAAGTTATGAGATATACTGTCTGATGCAGAAAAACAGCTTGCTTGCTTTTGTGGTACACTTACAAATTCTGATCACTTGCTATGCAGCTGAGAGCTGGACAGTGAATAGGGTAACAGAAGAATTGAAGCCTTTGAGCTGTGGTGTTGGAGAAGAGCACTGAACAACCCATGGACAGCCAAGAGAACAGACAGTTACGTCCTGGAGAAGGTGCAGCCAGAGTGCTCTTTGGAGGCAAGGATGATGAGACTTCACCTGACATACTTCGGGCCTGTTGCTAGGAGGGGCTATTCCTTAGAGGGACATGATGCTCAGAAAGGTAGAGGGTTAGTGAAGGAGAGGAAGACCCTTGAACAGCTGGCCTGCCACAGTGGGCTCTAATGTGTCAGGAAGTGTGAGGATGGCACAGGATAGGACAGGGTTCAGACCTGGTGCTCATAGGGTCTCTATGGGTCCTACTCGACTTGACAGTATCTAACAACAATTATCTAAACATGCTTGTTCATCATCAAAATAAAAGCCTAAATTATCATTCATCTTTGATAAACGTACTTTGACCAAGCACCCTGAGTAAGAGCAAGTTTAAAATCCTCCTGATTAGAGAGGCTGCCAAGCGGCAGTGACTCACCGATGGTCTGGATGACGGCATTCTGCACAATCTTCTCGTCATTGTCTTTGGAACCCGTGCTTAGGTTGGCACTGCCCACAGAGCTGCCCTGGAGATCGCCTGCTTCAAACTCAACACTGAGACGCAGGTGCTTCAGTAAGGTGTTGAAGACTTCCAGAACAGTGGGGCCTGCAAGACACGGTGAACAAGACATTGTTCCCACACCACAGACTCAAGATCAACTCTCTAATTCACAACATAATCTTTGATATTTCCTAAATAAGCAGAAATACTAATTTATGAGCTAATGCATTTAAAGGACAAATCTCAGAGACGAGAAGTACTAAATAAGGCAGCCTCCTAGCTCTCCTGTTGTTAGGCGCTGTCGAGTCAAACATGACTCGTAGGGACCCTGTGAAGAACTATGCATCACATTCTGTTGGATCACCCTTTAAGTGGTTCTGACAGCAAGTCCGTGCGTAAGAGATGGAAACTACCAGCAAATCGTCACTGACCATCATGAGCGATAGAACCTCTGGGAGACACCACGCAAAGGGTGTCCGCAAATGACCTACTAACTGCTCACAAGTTGGTTCCAACTCAAAGCGACCATCCATCAAGCTTCTGAGGCCGTAAATCAACCTCAGAAGGGAGGAGAGGCCTGTCTTTCACCCGAGGAGCAGCTTGGTGGATTCACGGTGACTCATGGCATTTTGATTAGCAGGAAATCAGGTACTTGGTGAACAGCACAACACATTGTAGATTACGTCATCAGAGTACTGCAGATAGGGAGTATAAAAACTACCTGTCTAATCTTGCCTACTCTAAATCATGCATATACTGGCTCAATATTTAATTGACTGAGGTCAGAAACCACAAAGTGATGAACACAGAGTTCACTGCAGACTGACTTTGCATTTCTGGAGTCTGAAAGGGGCAGGCTTTGCTCCAGTTCTTGGAAACCACTTGATTTATCTGGAAGAGGTAACTGGAGTTTGTTCTCTGCTTTGAGTTCTGAAAATCTGGTCATGTGGTTCCACACACGGCCTTTCCTCGACTCAGCAGCCTCGTGCACTGAAGGATGTCAATGGTACTCACCAATGGACCCTTTAGCAGCGATGGCGACAGCCTCTAACAGAACCTGAATAATGCCTGCTCGGACCCGTGGAGAGTCTTTTTTACGAGCGTCAAGGTGTCCTAGAATCTCCTGGATCACATGATGAGAATACTGAGCCTACAGGACATACAACAGCACAAAAATGTATGAATGATACATGCATCATAGTGGTATTCATAAGAACTTTTTAAAGATGGCACTTAAAGGTCTCATAATAGGGAACTGGCAAATGTAGCCGTCTTTGGAAAAATAATCCAAGGTGGTCTTGTGTGGGAGACAAAAATATCTTAACATAAGGCTCTCAAAACACTAAGTGATATACTACACATACCATCACATCGTAAATCCTCATCAAGCAACTAGCTACATGGTTTTACAGACAAACATGAATTCTAATACAAGCTTATCAGTGAAATGTAGAAATACAATAAAGATCACCATCATGAAAGAAATTAGTTCTTTAGTTATCTTTTTATCTTGACAAATAAGTAAGTGATAAATGGAAAGGAATAATGTAAAACAGTTAAAAACATGTTTTATAGCTGGCAGTGTTCCATAAAGGATAAAAATAACTTCTATAAATATAGTAAGTAAAGTCAGTCATACCTGAATGGAATACATTATAATTTTAAAGCAGTGAACTGCAAATTCATTGGGATCCCATAGTTTATGATGATCTAAGTGCCTGCAAATAACAGTTAAAAAAAAAAGGCTTTGTAAATTATGTATCTTTGTTATGTTTTTCCTATAGAACTTGCAACAAACAGCTCAATAGTCAAAGGACTATTAACTGAAAGAAAGCCAAGATTTACATTTTGAAAAGTGTGATACATATAGGCTGACTTTTGTTATTTGGGGTAATTCAACACTACATTAGTGAATCTGACTCTCTTCCAAGGGCAAAAAAAAAAGTTGGGTTCTTGAAAGCCTCCTTGTTTCACAGATGGTTCTATTTAATACATACTGTTAATTCATTAACATCGAAGCCACAGCACTGTAACTCATACCTGAGCTATGTATGAATCCCTGTAAAGCAGGGATTCTCTCCTTTGTAAAGTACATCAGTCTACCCATGTTTCACAACACTAATGCCACTGTCACAACAACAACTGGATGGAATATGAAAAGTAAAATCACAAGAGGACAAAACCACGTACAGAGTGCTACTACACAGAACACGGTGGCCATTAATTCACAGTCTAAGAGCTGAAACAAGAAGGCAAAGCATGACACTGGTTGACCTCAAGAGGGGCAGTTGTACTGTGGGACTCGTTCTGCTCCGGTGCACAAATGACTCTGGAAGTGCTACACGTACTCATTTTGGGGTCATACAGCAATTTTAATGTTGTTGTTGTTTGTTGTTATGTGCCGTCGAGTCGCCTGCGACTCACAGCGACCCTATGTACAACAGCCCTAAACTCAGCTCTGTCCTGTGCCAATCGCACTGTCTCTGACACTCCCATCCCAATTATCCCAGTCACTGAATCAATCCACCCCATAGAGGGCCTTCCACTCCTGCGCTGTCCCTCCACCCTCCCAAGCATGATGTCCCTCTCCAAGGACCGGTCTCTCCTCACTACATGTCCGAAGTTAAGTTAGACGAAGCCCCAGAATCCTTGCCTCCAAGGAGCCACCCGGTTTAACCCTCTCCAGGACAAATCTATTTGTTTTCCTAGCAGTCCATGGTATTCTCAGTACTCTTCTCCAGCACTACAGCTCAAAGGCATCAGTTCTCCTTCTATCCTCCTTGGTCATTGTCCAACTCTCTGATGCATAACAAGTGATTGCAAAGACCATGGCCTGTATCAGATGCACCTTAGTCTGCAGAGAGACACCACTGCTCTTCAGCACTTTGGAGAGGTCCCTAACAGCAGACTTTCCCATGGCAATGCGCCTTTTAATTTCCTGGCTGCTGGTGCCAAGACTGTTGACTATGGAGCCAAGCAAACTAAAGCTGTGTACAATCTCAATCTCTTCACCATCCATCCTGATGCTGCCGATTGGTCCAGTGGTGAGAATCTTTGTCTTCTTGACATTGAGCCTCAATCCATATTGCAGGCTGCAGTCCTTGACACTCTGCAGCAGGCGCTTCAGGTCCTCCTCAGTTTCAGCAAGCAGGGTTGTGTCATCCGCATAACGCAGTGAATTTTAATGAGTAAACAAATTTTCAAATAAAGAATCCATGAACAAAAAAAGATCAAGAATAATTCCCCCAGCTGCCAAATCCTGGCACTAAAGAGTAACAAAGCACCTAACATTTTTAAATAAAAATATGAGCAGCAAAAGTAGAAAAGTTCCTTTGTCCAAATCTCCGAAGTCTAATTCTCTGGAGTTTAAGACCTCTGTATAAACTGTTTGCAGTTGGACAATATGCTGCCGTTGTTGCTCTCAGGTGCCATCAGGTTAAGTGTGACTTACAGTGACCCTATGAACAAGAGGTGGACCGTATCTACCTGTGTCATCCTCAGCATCACTCCTGCAATCCCTACGTCAATCCATTTTGAGGGTTTTCCTCTCTTTCATGGATCCTCCACTATTCCAAGCATGATGTCCTTTTCCAAGAAACAGCTTCTAGAAATATGTCTCAAGTATATGGTATAAAGCTTTGTCATTCTTGGCTCCATGGAGCACTCTGGCTGTCCTGTTTGCTCTTCTGGCAATCCATAGGATTGTCAGTTCTCTTCTCTAATACCACAACTCAAAGACTTCAGGAATTCTGTCATCTTTCACCTCTCAGATAATGGCACGTGACTGAGAAGAGCATGGCTTGAGTAAGGCATATCTGAGTCTTCAAAATGACATCACTGCTTCTCAATAATTGGAGAGGTCCCAATTTCCCAATGCAACAAGTCTCCTGATTTCTTTACAGCTAGAAGCAAGGATGTTGATTATAGATCCAAGTAAGATGAAACTGACAATTTTGATTTTTTCTCTATCATAATGCTGCTTGTAAGTTCAGTTGTGAGGATTTTTGTCTTCCTGATGTTGAGATGTAATCCGTATCGAAGGATGTAGTCTTAGATGACCAGGCTATGCAAGAAAATTTAGAGTTCAGCTACCTCACTGCCTGACTGGAAGAGATCCATATTTGTTCTCAATTCCCAAGCAAGGTAAGCCAACAATATGTGGAAATTATCAAGCAATAACATTTAAATCATATGCAAGCAAAATATTGCTGAAGATCATCCAAAAATGTCTAGACCAGCACATTAGTAAACACTGTAAGACTAAAATGTCAATTCTAATATTAAGTATATAAAAATTAATATAAAGGTATGCTTTTCAGTATATTTGACAGGATTTCGATTGGTTCTTAGTAGCAGCTCCACAGTCCAGTCTTTAAGCAGTTGATCTCATTTTGTTTAATCGCACCACTGACTGCTGTGGAGTCCATTCTGAGTCTCAGTGGTTCTGTAGGACAGAATGGCATTGCCCCTTGCATCCCGGGGCTGTGAATCTCTACAGAAGCACATTCTTCTACTGCTCCCTGGATTTTCAGAAGCCTGTTCTTTAACACGTTGCTGCAAATGTAGGCAAATGTGTTTCTAAGCGTGGTCATCAATTTAAAAAGTGTGTGGCAACGTGTTAAGAAGTGATGGCCAATCATGATTCCTAGTCTGATTCTAACCTGTCCACCATGGGCAACCACTGTGGCATTTGACACAACAGTGACATAGCTTTCAGTATCACCGCAACCCACAAGTTATCTCAGTACAGCAAACTGACAGACAAGTGCTGTATCAGTTAAGAACAATGTTCTCCCCAAACAAAACAAACTGATTAACAGCACATCAATCTCCACTGAGACCGCAGCCCTCAGGCCTAACCAACTTTTTAATCAGAAAGGCCTGCCGATCAGGTCCTAACTGATTTAAACAAGTGTGTTCCAGCTCCCCACCTCTATGGAAGTAGATGGCCCCTAAGGCTAAGAACATTCACCTGAAATAAAGCATTGTAGATGCTTCTTTGGATTTCTTTAAGCCTCTTGTACAGTCATCAATAGGAAAAACAGGCAAGTGAGTAACAAGGATAGTAATGGCAAACTTAGAGAAACTGCGCAGAGCGTTACACAGTTGATCGACCACAGGATGGTGACAGAACCCGAAGACTTGATCAAAGAATCGAGATTTTCCATCTACATGGAAATGGGAAGCTCACAAGTAAATGCTGCCTTGGAGGTGCGGCAGATAAATATTGAAACAAATGATAGACTTAGTCAAAAGTGAATAACAAACATGGCAAAAAGAAAGGAAAGTAACAGACACAGGGAAAAAGGAGGAAGTGAGCACAGAAGTCAGTTAAATAAGTGCGATTAAGGTCTGTGCACTTGTTAGAGCTGGACGCTGTTTCAACTTTTTGATGCATATATGCAATACAAAGTTTCTAAGTGGAAATCCCAGTTAAATCATACTTATCACACACGCACATTATATTTCATATTTAAGGAGAAAAAAAAATCTAGTTAAATGGGTAGGCCAGAGAAATCTAATTCAGGCCTGTACCGTTTCCACATTACACTGAGTCTACTAACAACCTGCTCATGGAGGTGAAGCAAAGGTAACGGATAACCACCAACAGGCACAAATCACAGGGCAGCCCCAGCCACTCACGCAAAGACGGGCCTGACAGCATTATTCATGTTCCCGAAGGTCGCTCGGCCCAGGAGTTCTCGGAAACAATTTTCTGCCAGCACAGCAGGGTTCTCTTCTTTGTCAGCTGTGGAAGGAGAAGAAGGAGGACCTATTCGACTGAAAAAAAGAGAGACAAAAAATGAATGCAAAAAACCCAGGAATAGGTTCAATAGCTAAACAGGTACATTCTCCTTTCCAGATATACTCAAATGACATGTTCTTCTATCCCCAGATAATTTTTATCCTTCATCTTCCATTCATCAATTTACAGCTTTCAATCAGGGAAAGCTAAACTCAAGTGTACAATTCTCTGAAACTAAAAGAGCATCTTTTACACAGGCAAAGCAGCTCAGCAGCTGGGTTTTTTGTTCCCTTTTATCCAGTGTAAGATCTAAAGCAACATTTTAGTAAAATCAACAATCATTTTCAGAGATATTCAGTTTAGCTACAAGTGGAAAAATGTAATTGGAAGTTAACATATGATGCTGCATGAAAATAAAAAATGAATCTGTAAAAGCTAATCAGAGCAGCTGTATACATAGATAGCGTCAATAGATTCTTTCCACAGCCTAAATTTAGTGAACACGAGTGCCCCATAGAATTAACTTTATATATTTTCATTTTAGACCACTTTATTTTTATATTGCATATAACTATAAATTGGTAATATTGAATTTTAGAACTACAGAATCAAGATTTTAGAACTACAGAATCAAGTACCTTTTAAATTTGACTCAGATTTTCCCCTTGACACTGTTGGAGTTAAGGCCAAGACAAGAATAAGAAGTCAGACGAGAGTCAACTGGTTCTGAAGTGTAACCACCCCCATGTTATGGGGACAGAAAGAGAAGAAAATGTGCTCATAACACCGGAAGATGTGGAAGCAAGGGAAGCACTTCTGTGTCATGGATGATGGGGGGCATGCTCAGAATGTACCTCAACAGCACAAAAGGAATCAGAAACCTCAATTAGCTAAGTGATGCCTGTTTGAAAAACTAAAGTCATATATACTGAATAGTTATTATCACTGTCATTATCATTCCTATGATTAGTTCAACCTGCCCATAAAGAGTCACACTGGAGCTCTAATGACGAATGTACAGAAATTATATTCAGCTGTCATTTCTACTTCTCAGATATGAAACTTTAATATTAACTCAAAGCAATCTGTGTGCTCCATAATAACCAGCAAATGAAGTAAAAAACCAGCAAATTCCGGCGCTGGCTGAAAATCGCCTGTGACTTCATCCAGAGCCACTGGTGAGAGTCAGTGCCCAGAGCCATCAGGGGCTTTAAGCTCGTTGCCCACTGCTGTGGTGTGGACAGCTGAAACCCAGGCCCCGGCAGGCACCTGGGGGGTGGGGATGGGGGAACCC